ATACCCAACACCCCTGAACATAGGGAAGATTCTGTTCCAAATCAAATCATTTTTAGTGCTTTGCATTAAAGAGAAAGAATAATGGCTTGTGATTAGGTGACCTTTTTCTCACACCAAACAACATGAAACAGACAAGCTTTACAGAACACAAAGTTACAATTAAAATCAAACTGGGCATGACTGATTAAGCCCAGAAGAAGTCATTAACAGATACTGGACATAATCTAGAAGAAACAGTTTGATGGACTCAATAATTATTTCACCATTGATTTAGGAAGCAGCTGAAAAAGAAAAGGTTACCATGCCTTTAAACACATAACTTGTAAAATACTGCAGGAAGAGCTTGTGTATTTTCCTGTTTTGGCACAAAATCCTCCATTGTTATTTTAATACCCAGTTTTTTTTTCCGCCTCTGATTGGCTGACAGCTATATAAGTGGGGCACAAAAAAAAAAATGAAAAAAAGCCAAGCCCCTCCCATTTCAATACAATTTGGTTTTATTTTTCCAGTCAGACATTACTGATTAAACAAACATGAGTTGCCAAATCCCACCTCTCTAGTCCTTCTCTCTCCTCCTCCCCCCACCCCTTCCGAAACAACAAAATAATAAACAAATAAAGAAAAACTCTCTTGGGGCTTTGATTTTATATAAAAAATTAAGCCTTCCCAGCAGAGAGGATGTAAAAAGCATGCCATGGGGAAGGTAGGGAAGCCAAAACTCAACTCATTTTGTCCTACGAGGTCCCTGTTTTCTGTCAACTGCTCCCCAATTATTTTGAGCTGTTTCTCCCCTTCCTTCAACCTTCCTTTTACTCTTTGCAGTGTTTTGTTACATGTATAAAAATGTGCCTATCAGAAATATCACTGAGGCATCTGTACACCAAATAGAAAAGAAAACATACTGTAACAAACAGACTAAATCACCAAAATAAAAATCCTTAAGCCCTTCCCACCCTGAACCCTAATATTATACATGACAAGACAGTCAGCCTGCTGAAGACAGCTTTAGAAAACTGGCCCATTAAGTTAACTGCCTGGAGGAAGAAGAAGACAAAGAAGCAGCTGAAAGTGCCCTGGTTTTGCGTCTTGGAAGTTTGGGCCACACTCCATTGGCTTCTTGGCCCAGATGTATAGGAAGATATTGAATGCCCTGGTTTGAGCTGTGAAATGGCTCCCTCTGGACACAGATAATGCGGGGCATGGAAAACCTCTGGAGAAGGAAAGGGACTTCTGCTGTTCTTCCCCATATGTGCACATGTGGAAGGTACTCTTCCATACAACCCAAGCACTACAAGGACAATGTGCTGTTTGAAAAGATGGCTACAGGAAATTTAAGACTGTCTACTAAACAGATGCTGCAGTGCTGTGGGTTGTGGCTTTCATTGACTGGAGGAATCATTCTAGCTCCTTGAAAGGGACCAGCTGTATGTATTTGTGCTTCAAGGTTCCTCACTGTGGCCATGAAGGAAACCAGAAGAGGAGGAGTGGAAAATTGGTCGGTGGACTTAGCATAGTGGCTCCCAAACTTGGACCACCCAGGTGTTTGGACCAATACCCAGAAGCCCCAGTCAATTTGACCAACCCTCGGGATTTATGGGAGCTGACGGCTAAACAGCTGGAGGATCAAAGGTTGATTTAGGGAATTATCATACAGGAAACTTCAGCGGAGTCTGGCAGGAAGAAAGGAAATTGATCTGGGGGAGCTCGAGGGTGAAATGATACATGATGTGATGGAGAAGTAGATATTGCTGGGTTTCAGGGCCACCTATGTATTCCTTTTAGGACTGCAAAGATGGATTATTTTGGAAGGAAATGGAAGAGTAGAACATCCCACCTTCTGTCTATCAACCAAAGGTGACTGGACTATTCAGTAATATCATGGCATTTTGCATCAAAAGCACAATCTTCTCCACAGTCCAAATGTTCAAGTTCATCTTGGCCATATTGATATGATTTCATAGTCTGGAAGTCATGAACTGTGCCATCACATTTCAACATACTCCATGCAGAAATTGCCATTATGGATGACCTCTGTATCCACTGGTATTCTATTGGGAGTATCCACTACTCAAGTTGATAATTTGAAAATCAGAACTCTCATTCACAGACTGGTTCGAAACCAGCTCTCAGTCTGGAAACCTACATTTTCATGGCCACAAATCAACAGTCTACAAATTGCATTTTGACAGAATTGGGCAAAACCGTCAAGTCTAGTAACCCGAGGGTTTTTGATGAATTTCAGAGGAATAGGTGTAGAAATATTTATGGATGCAATCTTAAAATGTGTGTTTTTTAAACGTACATTACATTTGAGAGGCGTGTTCTCTAATATCTTTCCTCTCAAACTTTTAAAGCAGAGGGCCGGTTCACAAACCCTTAGACTGTTGGGGGCCCAGGCTATAGTTTGAAAATACATGAAGAAATTCCTATGAACAAAACATTTAAATGAAGACCAATAAAAAATACCAGTATTTCAATGGGAAGTGAAATAGTAAAGTTAACTAGGATTGTTGTTTTGTGTGCCTTCAAGTTGTTTCAGACTTAGGACAACCCTAAGTCTAAAGTTTAGAGTGGGGGCTGGTAAATGACCTTGGAAGGCTGTGTTTGGCCTGCAGGACTTTGTTTGGGGATCCCCTGGTGTAGGAGCTCAGAAGTTAAATTAACTAAAAGCCACTAAATCCCATTGTTGGAGAAAAGGGAGGGTAGAAATGTGTTATACAATAAATATAATAAATAAAAAGAGTTTTATCACCTGCTTGGTTGGCATCAAAGTGACAGAAACTGCAATAGGACTGGATGGATGAGACATGTGGAAGAGAGAATAACAGAGGTAGAAGGACTTGATTGTCCAGCATTTCCCAAGCATGCACTTGATACTACACCTTTCCAAAACCATAATCAGGCTGTTAATTTTCCTACTTCTGGAAGCAAAAACTAACAAAGATAAGATATACTGGGACATTCCTGTGTGGCATATTATATCAACATCCTTCCCTAGGGGGGAAAAAGCTATCACTGTCATCATAAATCTGTCACAAGGTTATATGTACTCTTTCTCTTCTCTCCCTATTCTTACATTTTATTTATGCAAGAACTGCAGCAGGGATTTATCAGTTTTTGTGGGCACACTGTTGGCTTCTCTGTCCCATCCACTTTGGTCCATTACAGAGGAGTCCTACATTGGGTAGCAAATTTCCGAAAGCTTTCTAAACCAGCTGAGTTCGGAAATGGGTTTGGTATTTGGTCAGTTCTAATGCACACTCCCTAACAACATTCAATAAGTCATCTAGAAAAGAACCCCAACAGTCTAGTAGCATAGTGTTGGTCAGTTTATCTAAAACATGTATGTGTGTTGCCTTGAATGTCTGAGCATTAAAGAGTCCAATTCTTGAACTGAGTCAACAATGTGCCTAGAAGATCAAGCATGGCTTCCCAAAAATGCAGTGCTGAGGGTCACCAGTGCCACCTAGCGGGGATACCCCATGCTTGCATCTTCTGAGATTAAAAAAAATCTTATTTGTTCTCTCAGGCCCCTTCTATACAGCTGAATAAAATTCCACATTATCTGCTTTGAACTGGGATATATGACAGCGTGGACTCAGATAACTCAGTTCAAAGCAGATATTGTGGGATTTTTGCCTTGATATTCTAGGTTATAGGGCTGTGTGGAAGGGGACACATTTTGACTGTTCTCAGTGTCATCTGGTCTTATATGTGAGTGGTTCTCAGCCTTTGACTCTCCACATGTTTCGAGGCATAAGTTCCCAGAATTCCCAGCTAGCATTGCTAATGGTCAAGGATCTCTGGAATGAACGCACAGGATCCTATTAGTGTGATGTTACATTGGACATTACAGAAGGAGATATACAACATCTTTACCTCCGCTGGACAATTGCAGCAGGATGGGTCCTTGGCACAGGTCTGCCCACTTAATTCTGGGACCCAGGTGCCTCTAATACTTACTAACTTTGTGCTATGAGGCAGTCTGAATCACACAACAAATAAAAATGTCCCTATTTCATAAGAATTCACTGTGATGAGTTTTTAAATAGCAAACATTGCTGCCGTATTGATTGTGAAAAAATTGCTTTTTAATGTATTTTAAATCATTTTAGCTCTATGTTTAATGAATGTTAAAATATTTTTAAAATGTGTGTATTGTTAATGTTTTCGTATGGTTTTCAATCTGCACAAGTTTAATCATTTGATCCAAATTACTGGGAAAATAATAATAATAATATAATAATAGTGACAAAGGATGCTTGAATCCAAGGTCCACCTAGCCTTTACATCAGAAGAGGTAGACGCATTCATGTCTATAGTTGACCCTCCACATTTGAAGGTTTATTTTTGTTGATTTGATTACAGATTTGGAATCTCTATGTTCTCCAGTGCAACTTTCTGATCACCTTCTTCTATAGTTTACAAATTTTGATAAAAAATCGAGAAATTAATATCTTGTCACTGTTGGAAGCAGTAGAATTTATTATAATTAATTAGAATGTTAAGGAAAGTTCTAATTTTTTTAGAGAGTGCCTACGCTACAACCCCATATCCATGGGAGATACGTTCTTGGATTTGCATAGATGCTTAAAAACGCAGACAATAGCAAAATTGTTCAAGTGATGGACTTCTGGCGCAAGGATACCACAGAGTTGTGTTGGAGGACTGAGAAAATACCTAGAAAAGCTATATTATATTGGGAGTGAATAAATAAAACTGCAGACACTGGTCCTGCAGATACGGGAACTGTACTGTATTTGGTTGTTATTCTTTTTCTACGTTACTGATATCTTTGAACAGTTGTCTTTATAGTTTCTACATTACTAACATGGTCTTTTTCCTATGTGAAAAAGTGTCCTAAAGCATGGGAATCTAACAACCTACTGAATTACATTTGATAACTGACCTGCATTTCTTTTTGTTCCATCACTACCCATCTACACCAATATGCATGCTTCAAACACCATGGGTAGATTGATCAGATTGAAAAAGGTAAATATGGAATGTTGTGTTCATTTTATTTAGAAGACACAGATCCATAGTACCACTCAACTACAGTGATACATGGCTACGAAGATCAGATGGAGAATGAAGGATGCATAATTCTTAATTGGAAATATTCTGTGAGATTCTGAACATATACAGAACTTTTTTCTGCATTGTTGATTAGCTGCATCCTTCACTTTTCCACACACTTAGAATAAAAAAATGTTGCACACAGATTCATATCAGAAGACATGTTTCACATGTAAAGACCAAAGATGTCAACCTCTGCAATGAATAATGAGTCAAAATCTCTTATTAATTGTACCATAGTAATAATGAGTACTATCAAACAACTGGAGAAAAGGGGAAAACAAATTGACATGATGTGTTAAGCACAACAAGTTATTTCTAAATTCTCATTGTGAGAGCTGTTAGCAACAACTTCACTTGTTAAAACGCATGTGGCTGTGTGTACCAAATCAATTAGCAAATATCTAGTTATAGTGAAACAGTGAACTTATGCCAATATTTTTCCATGCTCAATGAAGACATTTCCCTACTTCTGGTCAGGTATTTGATGAGACGTGAATAATAAAATATCATTCTGGGGCCAATTGTCTTTCCCTGTATTTTCTCCTTGGGAAGAATATTGCCCAAAATATCAAGGGATTATGGCAACATAAGTATTTTCTCAGGCATTGGGCAAATATTCAGTACCTTCTTCTATAAGGCTTTTCTTTGGTTGTACAATGGCTTCTGAGGTACAACTCTGGCCTTATTCAATATGGCATTTTTGGCCAACTGTGATGTGCCTGTCAATCTTCTGGCTGGTGTTGCATTGCTGGGGTGGTGGTGGGGAAAGGAAAAGCCTTCAGCTGCTGGGACCTTCAGCAGATGAATGGTGGCAGAGTTTTGCACCCCATCAGCATCAAATAGAATCCCAGCTGACATTTTATATATGACCTGAAGTCCTGCATTGGGAGCTACATCTCTGTAGCTACATCTCCCAATATCACCTTGTAAGCTGCACAGCCCCACTGAACAACCATTTTTGGTTTTTGGAGAGTGGTGTGATCAATGGTGATGCATCCAACTATTTCCCTTTAGCAAGATGTAGTGCAACAGATATTTGCAGAAACGTCTGAGGACCCACAAGGCATCCCTTTGGGTGATATCTTTGTAATGTATCAATCCAAAGAAAAATGCTGCTACTGAAAATGTCCACATGGAAGAAGCTTACAAAATGGGTTAAGGAGCAGGGCACTTTTGGTCATCACATGGTTGGAACAGAATTCTGAGCTGACCCCCCCCCCCAAGTGAGTTGCAATTTTTCTCCACTTGATGCTTGAAAACAATGATAATGATGATGATGATGATGATGATGATGATGAAAAGAAGGAGGAGGAGGAGGAAAATTTTAAACTAGACCAATCACTTGTGTCTGCTTCTGCCAAGGATGTTTAGATATTGCCAGGAGCCTGAGTTGTTTACCTCCAGAAAATTGGAGTATGATCACCATATTCCTTCTCAATTGTCAAAAAATTGTTGGTAGCAAGGAACTGAATCTACAATCTAACACTATAATCCAGAACTCTGGTGTGTGACCTGTGCTTCATGGTGGCTTCTGGCTCACTGTGCCATACAGAGATAGATTAAGAGCAAATGACCTACTTGCCTCTCACTGACTTCTCTCCCTTCTGACCCAAAGCCCCAATATTTGTTGTGCCTCTTTTCCATTCCACGTGGCATAAACCTCTCCATCCATTCTGGCTGGGCTGTCAATCAAATACCTTCATAAAAACAATTCCTCTAGGGCCAAAATAAACACAAGAAGTGACACACAAATGCCCTGCACGCATAGTTACAACACACACACACAACACACCCACATGGAGCTTGTGGGAGCACCATGGCTCCTCGCCCCTTTGTTGAGTGGCCTGGCTAGGAGAAAGTCTAGCCAGGAGCATTATTTATATTATTCTTATTACTCTTAACAAGTTTTATTGAATTATAACGAAACAACCTCATTGAAACCAAGCACGTGATCTCCTTGTCATTCCCCCTCAGGCCTGAGCAGCTACCCATGCGGGCTAACATTCTCATTGCAAAGTTGGGTGCCACCCCAAAGGGCCTTTGGCTGGAAGAACTCATAGGAAGTCTTTTATGGCGATCGCAGACCCCTCTCCTCCCATCATGCCATCAGTACTCATGCTATACTCTGAACCCAAACAAATTCTGTGCTGAGGCCACTTTCAGCTGGAGGGCTGATCTGCTCCGGTCTCTCTCTATCTCTCTTGTTCTTTCTACATAAGGAGTCTGAAGGAAAGGCTAAAAGCAGGAGGTTTGGGTAGTAATGATGTACTTTATGGTGCAATGTGTGCTGAACCAGCACAATAGGGCACCAACACCACTTTCACCCTGATTTTTAAAGTATGTGTTTTCAAGTTCACTCCCTTAGCCTATGATCATTCCCAAGCTTTTGCCCCCCCCCCCAGAGGAGACCTCGGTGCAGCCGCTGTGCATAAATTAGTGAGAGTGTGGCCAAAAAAAGTTGACTTGGTGCACTGAAACCCAGAGCGAGTCCTCGGCGTCTACCGCTCAAGCCTTGAGCTGGTGCCACTGTGCCACAGCCTGACGCGGATGTGAAATCATATCCTTCCAGTGCTTCACTTCACCTGGCCCACTCTTCCATGACAGATAGATCTAAGAAGGAAAAGGAAACAAGTCACACAGGAGGATTAACCTTCTTCAAAGAGCTTTTTCGCCTCCCTCTCATCTACAGAGTCCTTCCAGCCATTACTTTTTCCGGCCTTTCCTTCTATTTCAGATGCTGATTGCAGCATCAGATGCTGATCTCTGGTGTTTTTTTGTATCCCCCCCCCTTCCGCCCAATTATTTTGGCTCCCTACATACCACTTTAAGTTTCTGCATATTATTGCTGCCATCTTCTTCCACTATTCTTCTTGTTTCAGAATTCAGAAATCTGATTTTTTTCCTATTACAATTCCTGGAATCCCCTAATCAGCACTGGCAGTGAAGTTGCAATCTGCTCAACAAATCAACATTTGTACTGTTTTCCCATATCCTCCATACTTCTCCTACATATATTTATCTACCTGTTGCTTCACTGGCACATACCTTAGTTGAAGTAACTCAGATTACAACGGAACCAACCCTTCTCAACATAGTAGTTTAACCTAATGGGGTGAGGCAGCTATGGTTGCTTATTTGATGAATCTGACTGCACCCCAATCACATAAAAATGGGGTGCATTTGTTTCTGATTTCTACATTTAAAATGATGTGTAGGGGAGGGGGACTGCAAACATGACAAATAAATGGGTTCCAGAGAAAATCAGGCTTTAACTCTTCCCAGAAGCCAAGGAGATGAATCTGAATTTGTCCTACTTTGGCATGTCATGAGAAGAGATGACTCACTAGAAAGGTTGATATGCTTCATAAAGTTGCAGACAACAGGAAAAGAATAATAAGCAAGGTGGGACTGTAATTGGAAAAACTTGTTTTTTTTAAGCTTTGAGTACAGATAATAGAAGGAACAGAGAATCTATTTATCTGTCCATTAGCATCACCATGAGCACGCATCTATTAACATATGGCTTAATATAGACACACTAATAAATATACATGTATATACATACTGGGGACATGAGCATAGATTCTCCATGGGGGTGTGGTTATGGGGGTTTGTCATGATGGGCGAACTGAACCACTGAATGTCAATCATGCTTGAGAAATGCCAGCATGGGAATATACATTTCAAGTCAGCTAAATATAGCTAAATAATAACAATAATAGTAATAATAATTCTTACCCGCCTCTCCTCGCAGCTCGAGGCGGGTTACAACATAACTAAAAACACATAATCATCATAAACATTCTATAAAATACACATTAAAATGTATTTCTGCAAAATACATATTATACATAGAACCAAGATTAAAACACAAGATGCGGATTTAAAATTCATGATTTTCACAGGAGTTGCTTTATTCAGGCATTTCCCTGGTTGTTTTTCTTCACATAAATCTCTCAACTTTTTCTGTGATCACAGTTACACACAGCAGCCATTTCCACAATCACAGCTGCAATTTCTGTTGGATCTGCCACAATCATGGAAATTGCTTCAGTATTTTGGTGTATTGTTATTTCCTACAATTCTCTCTCTCTCCCTCTCTCTGATAAGTGTACACACATTCTGGAGGGACTGCACTGAGAAAAAAGCATTGGAGAAAAAGCTGTATAACTTGCCCCACTCATTCTCTGCTATGCAAATTTCAATCAAGCAATCCCATGCTAAAGTGCCAGTTGTTCACCAAGGATTATGTTCTGCCAGTGGTCTATAAAGTTACCTATTGCTTCCTTTGTCACTGTGCTCATTTTCATAGTAACTTTAAACTGAATAAGCTGTTTTAAACTGAATCACAGTTAGGCATTCTCTATCCCAATATTTTCATTAATTTATAGTTTATTAGTGGCTCTCAGGACTGTTACTTGATTTTCTTTAATTCATTGGTACTAGAGACTGAACTTAAATCCCCAGAACTACAACTTACATGGCAGGCACTATTGCATACTGGGCACAATTGGAAATCCAATAATTTAATGGAGTCAGGACTTGCAACTCCCCCTCCCCACCAAGAAGGTACCTTAACACCTATGAACCATGTCTAATGACAGAGGTCTGTCTAGTGAGTGGGGTGCAATGACAAATTGTAATGGGGTCCTGCTTCTGACTGCCACAGTCTTACTGGTAGGAAAGGTCTGGAAATGCCATCCTTTCGCATCTCAACTGAAATCCAAATATGTCCCATTGTTTCATGTGGATTTTGCATGGTGAAGTAGTTTTTTTTTTGTGGGAAAGGGGGCTATAACTCTAGTTTATGAATCCAGAACTGCAACAGAGGAAATTAGTCAACTTATGTTGAACACTGTACTGGACCTGGGAAGGGGGGGGGGGGCTGTGATTAATATAAAAAGTGAGTAGGCACTTCTGCAGGTTTCCAGAAAACTTAATTCATCTGTCCAGGAATGTGGAGGGGCCAAGGGTCACAAAAATGGCTTTTCCTACATCTATTGTAAAGAAAGAGGACAAAGCAGTAGGTCTATTTCTTTCCTTTACGAAAGCATATCTGAGAAGCACATTTTCCTATTTTTGACATCTTCAGGGGAAGTGAAATTGAAAACAGCAGTGTCTTGAGAAGACTATCTCTGCAAGAATGGAGAATGAAGACATTCACAAAACAAGAAAATAACCAAACAGGGTTGCTTGGATGCAGAATAGGTTTTTTTTTTAAAAAAAGGCACATAGGCAAAGCTACAGATAATGGACAAGAAAGTGAGATCCTTCAATGATAAGATCAGACAGATGTTTCTGAAATATACAGAGGAATGACACTTTGAGGAATGACTTCTCCCAGTCATATTACCCCTGGCGATACATTTTACACGACAGCATAACCCATCTGATTGGGTAATGAAATCAAGCGTGGAGCTACTGAGTACTCTAACTTGGGCACATAGCTTTTTCCAGAGAGAGATCTCCAACCACTGACTCCCTCTCAACTGCCTTGGGCTTCACATCTGCCACTGCAAAACCAACAGCGAGGCCCAATTTGATGGAGCTTTTCACCCACACCAGCTGCCACCCTTCATTCCTCTTCTGCTGAACAAATGTGTTGGAGGTGTCAAATTTAGTTATATGCCAATGCAAACAAGTGTTAATCCCTCTGGTAGCTCTGGGTATTTTTATCCACTGGCTTTCTATATCATTGCATGGAGGATGCATGTGTCAAGTTCTCCCACGCAATGACAGCCAAGAATTGTCTTCCAGATTCACTAATGGAGCCTCCCGACTCTCACTCAAAGAATTGTGACTTCATAACTTGATTGCACAATAATAGCAATTATTCAATCACTCATTATTATCACATTGCTATGGCAGAGGTTGAAGAGGGCGAGCTTTTCTAAACCTTCAGTTGCACTCGCCTGAAACTTCTTGACAAGTTCTACTCTAATTTATTTCTCATTTGTTACAGTTCTATTCTGGTGGCAGAGACAGAGACTGTATGACCCTCTAGAACTTGCTGTTGTATGTGCAAATCTTATTATCTTTCACTAACTGGCCAGGGCTAATGGGAGATGCAATCCAACAATTTTAGAGAGCTATGTGTTGTTCAGGTTGCTTTAAGTAACCTACATTGATGCTTCCCAAGCTGATGTAAGGGACTGATAATCCTTTTTTTTTTTACAGTGTGCTAATAATCAGTATTATATCTCTGCCTACCGACGGAAGCTGTATTTTTCTTTCTTGGAAACTCACCAGCTATGGAACAAGATTTTGAATAACATTGATCTATATGAATGTTTTGTCTTGATCTGCTAAATTATGTATGCATTAGATTTTTTTAAAGGTTATTTTCAGTATGCCAACAAATAATAATTCCCTTTGAGAATTCACTGCCTAGGTTAAATAACTTACTCTAGCCAAACATATAGGCAGCTTGTGCGTAGTTAGTTTTCTACTTATTTTGGAATTACTCAAATATGGACAACACCTAAATCCTGCTAATATTCCTATTTCTCATGTGTGCTGAGCAAACAGAGGATGAAATAATTCCTCTGGACACCTGGAGTTGCAATTCCATTTCCCCACTAGATCTAATGCAGTGGTTCCCAACCTTTTTTTTTTTTGACCAGGGACCAGTCTCCAACATTAGTGCAAAAGGGTTAAAAATCAGTTTTTGGTCAACTTTAGATTTGGTTTGGTTATTTAGAGTGCTGATTCAGAAAATTGCATTGGATAGACTACATCAGCTCTTGTTTCTGATATGTCATCCAGTAGTTGCCATCTGCTCACCCACAGAAAACCATATTTAATAATCTAGAGCTGATGTGGTCTAACCAATGCAATTTTCTGAATCAGCACCCCATATAACCCCAGGAACAGGCCTAAAAATGAAGACACCAAGGGCCCCTCGCTTCCAGGCGCCACATGGAATGGCTCCACTCAGGGGGAGGGAGAAGGGGAAGAAGCAGCAGACAAGAGGCTCGTTGTCATGCCTTTCATGGGTAGTAAGCTTCTCCCCTCCCAACATCCCTGCTGTCTCGGCACTATAAGAGGGTTTTGTGAGTCACTCTCATTGCAACGGTGTACTAATAGTGAGGCCACAGACCATATTTTAGTTCTTGGGGACCACTGTGGTCCACGGATCACAGGGAACCACTGATCTAATTGGACTTTCTTCCAAGCATACTTGCACAGAATTGCACTATGAACACCAGCTTTGTGTGATACTGAGTCACATTGAGAACATGATCGAGTTTACTCTGTATTTTATTCCTGGCCTGCCATGAGAGTAGACCAATTAAATCAATAAGATTAATATATACATAAATATACAATTCAACATTTGATTCAGTAAACCCCCTTTAATTGAAACTAACCAATAGGTTTCAGACCTTAGTCATTAGAAGGGAGATTTCCCAGTAGTGGGCCAAGTGCGCTTTCTGTAAACAATTTTGATGTGCTTGAATTCTCATCCTTTTCATGCTGGGTTCATGTGATGCTGATTTTAATCTAATATACATGTTGCTTTTTCTAATAGAATGCTGCATTAGGGAATAATTGACTCTCTACAGCATACGACTATAATAACAAGATTTATATGTTAATTTATCATCGTTGCATTAAGAACATCAGAATTATATATATTTAATTTAAATCAGATTTGGAGCCAATTAATTTTTCTAAATTAATTTTGTCATAATTACGGATTTCTAAACACCAGTTCTTCATATCCCTTCCAAGTTCATTCAATTCCATTGCTATACACCCCTGCAAAAGATACAACAAATCACAAGGAACAATTGACCTTGTTGAGGAAATCAGTGCAGAATAACATCTGGAAATGGAGCCTACTGTGTGCTTTTCACATTTGCTTTACCCAATATTCAGCTTGAAACTCAACCCATGTTTACTATGTGGATTCAAAGGTTTAGTTTGGGTTTTAGTCAAAACTTTAAAGGACCCATCCAAGGTATACCTAGGCGTGTTCCTTTCAAGGTCTGACTAAAAACCTGGGGTGGATTCATAGCTTCACTGAAATGGAAGATGCCAGCTGTGGTGTGTAGTTCTGCCTTTCAGGCATATGTTAGAAAGTGATTGAAAAGATAAATAATATAATCTCCTTCTATAGAGAAATCTGTGAAAAGGAAAGCTAATTGAGTCAAACCAAGTTTTTTCTCATTCTGGCATTTGACTCAGGAAGCCATGGCTTCTCCAACTGGCAGAGGAAAAACTTGCCTAGCAGGAAAGCCACTCGGTCCTTTCCTAAAGCCCCAATTTGGCATGGAATGGGGAGGCTGCACATTGGTAATTCTTTTTATGAGGCTCATGAACTATTTCATTGTTATGATATGAAAATAGACTCAGAAGCGGAGTGGGCAGATCAAAAGACAACCTGGCAAGATGGCACTACCTAAAAGAATGCCATATCTTGTGTGACTGCGGAGCAGAACAGATAACTCTGCACCTGTAAGCTTGTCCATTGTGCCCTGCCTCATGTACAGAGGAAGAATTGTTGGAGGCTACAGACAATGCTGTTGCTGTTGCCCGTTTTTGGTCAAAAGATATTTAGCTGCCTGCACACTTTCTATTTTATCAGTTTTATACTAATTTATGCAATGCTTTTGATACGAAATAATAATGTGAAAATGGACTTATACTGCTCAGTTAATAATAGTCATAAACCTGCCATTTTTGTACACATTTATCTTTCTGTGGGACTTTTTGATTGATTTGGATATTTGCTTGGTACCTGGCTCTAGCAGTGGCTGGATATGTGCCTGAGTAGGATAACACCAGTGGTATGGTGGAGTTATTTTACATATTTGTCATATTAGGAGCTAACCAAACAGTTGTATTGTATTAAAAAACCTCCCACAAAGTTTGAAAACCTGTCATTTTATTAAATGTCCATTGACCAGTAACTGGCCACTTGGAGTGCCTCTGGTGTTGCTATAAGAAGGTGCTCCATTGTGCATGTGGTGGGGCTCAGACTGCATTGTAATAGGTGATCTGTGGTTTGCTCTTTTCCACACTTGCATGTTGCGGACTCCACTTTGTAGCCCCATTTCTTAAGGCTGGCTCTGCATCTTGGGGTGCCAGAGTGCAGTCTGTTCAGCGCCTTCCAAGTAACCCAGTTTTCTGTGTGCCCAGGTGGGAGTCTCTCATTTAGTCTCAGCCACTGATTGAGGTTCTGGGTTTGAGCCTGCCACTTTTTGACTCTCACTTGCTGAGGTGTTCCAGTGAGTGAGAAATTAGGACTTGCAGGGTCAAAGCCCCAGGACTTTTTATTTGCAGGATATCATTTATTTATTATTTATTTATTTATTTACTTTGCTTATATACCGCTGTATCTCAAGCCCGAAGGCGACTCACGGCGGTTCACAAACAGTAAAAACAGTAGAAACAGCAGTGGTTCCATACAACATATAACAATTGACTTAACACATTAGCCATAAATTACCAATAAGCAATTACAATGCACAATTATTACAAAAAACAACCGTACCCAATCTTCTCATCATCCAAGCGTAGTCCAGATTCGTCGTCCATTGTTCCATTCCTATGTTCCATTACCAGATTGCACTAAAATTACTCAAACGCCTGCACAAACATCCAGGTCTTCACCTTTTTGCGGAATACCATTAGAGATGGTGCTAGTCTAATGTCCGTAGGAAGGGCGTTCCACAGCCGAGGAGCCACCACCGAGAAGGCCCTATCTCTCGTCCCCGCCAGCCGAGCTTGAGAAGCAGGCGGGATCGAGAGCAGGGTCTCCCCGGAAGATCTCAAAGTCCTGGTGGGTTCATAGGCAGAGATGCGGTCAGATAGGTAGCTTGGGCCGGAACCGTTTAGGGCTTTAAAGGCCAACGCCAGCACTTTGAATTCAGCCCGGTAGCAGATCGGTAGCCAGTGGAGTTGGCGCAACAGGGGGGTTGTATGCTCCCTGCGCTCCGCTCCTGTTAAAATCATGGCTGCCGAGCGTTGGACTAGTTGGAGCGTCCGAGCTGTCTTCAAAGGCAACCCCACGTAGAGAGCGTTGCAGTAGTCTAAACGGGATGTAACCAGAGCGTGGACTACCGTGGCCAAGTCATCTCTTCCTCCACTAATTATGGATTCCAGCCACATATGGATTTCCTCCATTATGCATTATTTTAGCTGCAATCTCTGCTATAATTGGAGCAGAATAGCTGCAATCCCCGCTATAGTTGGGACAGATTGTCCCAGCAGCACTGTAATGTTACTATCTATCTATGTCTTAATCCATATTTTTCTATGTTGCTTGGGAAGTAATCTCTGGTCTTTCGTGGGTAAGAATCATGATTTTTTTTCAAAAGATCTGTTCCTAAAGGAGTTTAACAAGGCAAGAAATGTAATTTTGTATATAGATTTATATAGTTGCCTACTTTTTAGAAGCTTCTTATGGGGTGTTGCTTTTGGGAGTGTTGCTATAGGGCAGTGGTTTTCAACCTGTGAGTCCCCAGATGTTTTGGACTTCAACTTCCAGAAATCTGAACAGCTGGTACACTGGCTGGGATTACTGGGAGTTGTAGGCCAAAACACCTGGGGACCCACAGGTTGAGAACCACTGCTATAGGTAGCAACATGATGAGAGCCTTCACTTCAGTTTGCCATATGTCACACGACAACACCAGTTCCAGAAGTAGGTGTTCCACTTCTCATCGCACATCCATCCATATCCTGCTATGGCAACTTCCTATCTACTTCATTTCTGTCCACTGACTTCTTGCTCTGACTCACAAAACCACTGAAAAGATCTTGAGAAGAACCCAGAGAGTGTTTTAGCTCAAGGAAAACATCTCACCTTCCCAATGACATCGTTCCGGCTGAGCTTATCCTTATCCATGACAGTGATGATAATGGTTGTCTCCCTCAGCTTCTCTGTGGGGATGTCAAAGATGAAGGACTCATTGAAGACAGGGTTCAAGCACCTCTTCATCACCACTGTCTTCTTCTTCTCCACCCGTTTGTCTTTGTACATCAGCCACACCTTCACATAAGGGTCTGGAACAGGAAAAGGAGGACATAATCACCAGAAGGTTGTTCACTGTGTATTCATATCCCATTGACATTTTGGGAAGGACAACTGAGAGAAGTGGAGGTACTTGGAGATTCCACAGCTTTCGGGAGTGCCCACGGGGATGGTGTGAGGTGCTTTCAGTGGTTTAACCCAGTGATATAGTGGAGTTGGGCTCATAGGGTCAAAGCCACATGACTTTTGATTTGCAAAATGAGGTGCAAACATCATTTCTTTTCTCCAGCTAATTGTAAAACAAGCAAGTGAAAAATATATTCACCTCCCTCCCACTGAAAGCTCCCTAAAAGATGGGGATCCAGTTTATGCTTTTGGTGTAGGCCATAGAAATGCAATCTTCTCATTCCACAACTGGAGAGAGGAACTTTTCAAATGTGGAATGGTTCTAAAACATTTTTTTCTGAGGATTATCTTTCTGATATTCATTCTTTAAGGACTTTCCATTGTCTTACCTTTGAGGTCACTCTCTTGACTTACCTTGTGATCACTGGAAGGCAGAGGCCTGAAATGTTTCCAAATTAAAAACAAATATATACCCAAGAAAACCAACTCAATACAGAGAAATAGACCTGTAGGGTTCTTTGATGGTTCTATGACCAATTTCAGCTTTTACTATATCTATTTTAGTCACAATTATACTCTACATTTTTCCCTCATGGAAACCAGCATGCTACACATAGGGTTCAGAGGTAACTTCTCATCCATCCACTGACCAGACCCCAATCTTGTTGAGCTGAAGGAAGTACTTTCATGTTGCACCTTGGGGCACAGAAGAGGTAAGCTACATTTCAGTTAATAGTTTAATAATTAAACTGAAAAGTGTGCTGCCTCATTATTATGAGGAAGAGCATTCTCAGAAAGCTGTGGCTCCTCAGTCTATTTGGGAATCACCTTGAACTCTGGTTTTCTTAAAGATGTAAAATAACATTTGCTAAATTTCTTATCATTGACAATTTTTTCACATTTATTATCCATCTCCATCACCAGCAGGAAAAAAAACCCACTTCTACTTCTTCTGTATGAGCATTCTTCTCACTCCCATTAAGATTTCAGCAATTTTCACATGAAGTCTCTGTGCAAAACTGTTTTCCCCTTATGTTAAAGCAAAGGATAGCCACCCACAGCACACACCAGATGGTAGGCCTGTTGAACAAAAAGATATAACCAACTCTCTTCCAGTTTCTGCTTTTTGGAAGTCCATGCAACAAGGCAGCAGCAGTTGTATTTTGTGTCAAAGCAATTTGCAGAATTTGTGCAAAAACAGTCTTGCAAATGGAGATGGCTTGCTCAAAACTGAGCCAAAAAAACCCACCCTGTTTCATGAGAAAAATGTCAGGTTTTTAGACAGACAAGGATTGACATCCCTTATTCTCATTACGAGCCTGAACCCATGGCACAGTCCAGCCCTGATAAAACATCAAAAGGTGATCTTTGTCTGCCTGCAGGAAATATAGTATCTTTGTTGTGCTTGAAATAAAGTATGCCAATCCTTCTCCTTAATGACATATATTCTTTGTTGTTGTCTGTTATGTGCTTTCAGGTTGACATTAAGTTATGGCAATTCTATCCTAGAGGGGTGGTGGTGGTCATGATGGCGGCAGCAAGATGTATTCTGAAGAGAATTGTCATTGCTTTTTTTAAGGCTGAGAGTGTGTGACTTGTCATAGGTCATCCAGTACATTTTCACAGTGGAGCAGGAATTCCAATCCTGGTCTCCAGCACTCTAGTCCAATCCACTACTTTACACTGGCTAACTCTTTGTCAACCGCAAAAAAAAAAGGGCAATAATTAACCTATGGCAGTAATGGCCCCTCTATCACAAAAGAGGATACTTAAAGCAAGCAAAGATAAGACAAGAATCCTGTCCATCAAAGGGCCTCTGCCAAATCTTAGCCAAATATGTTAGAGGCTTGTAAATGATCAGACCTCCAAACAGAAAGATATTTTGTGATTTCCATTAGATCTGAGACGGCTTGCCACTGCACAGAAGGTCTGTTCTGGAATACCAAATACCTGATGTTCCCCCAATGTCCATGGCTTTAAGATTCCGGGCTTTGATAATATTCACAACGATGGAGTTAGCAGAAGGGTTGTAGCAAAGGGATAGGAGCAATTCTCCTCGGCTTCCCTGCAGGAAAAATAAAGTTAGCAGAGAATGAAGAATTATTCAAAACCCCTGTTTGTCTTCACTAATGCCTATTGTATCTGTTCTTCTCAGGCTGGATCTACACTGCCCTATACCACAGGATTTGATCCCACATCCCAGAATCATAAAATAATAGAGCTGAAAGAGACCATGTGAGCCATTTAGTCCCACCCACTGTCATGCAGGAAAGCACAATCAAAGCAGCCCCGACAGATGTCCATCCAGCCTCTGTTTGAAAGTTTGCAAGGAAGAAGCTTCCACCACACTCCGAGGCATAGAGTTCCACTGCTGAACAGTTCTTACAGTCAGGAAGTTCTTCCTAATGTTCAGGTGGAATCTTCTTTCATGTAATTTGAACCCATTGCTCCAAATCTTAGTTTCCAGGGCATCAGAAAACAAGCTCACCTGCTCTTCCTTATGGCATCCTTTCACATATTTATACATGGCTATTATGTCTTCTCTCAACCTTTTCTTTTGCAGGCTAAACATACCCAGCTCTTTAAGATACTTCTCATTGGACCTGGTCTCCAGATCTTTGTCAATATCTCTTTTGAACTGTGGTGCCCAGAACTGGACACAATATTCCAGGGGAGGTCTAACCAAATTCCATTGATTTTTTAGCTGGTGAATCACACTGCTGGCTTATGTTCAACTTTTTGTTCACAAAGACTACCAAGGTCTTTTTTACATCTACTGTTGTTGAGCAATGCATCACCTATCCTATATCTTTACATTTCATTTTTCCTGCTTAAGTGTAGTATCTTATATTTGTCCTTGTTGAAATTCATTTTGTTTGACCCAGCTCTCTAATCTGTTATGGTCATTTGAAGGCTGATCCTATCCTCTGAAGAATTAGTTGTCCCTCCTAATTTGGTGTCAACTACAAACTTGGTAAGTATACTCCCTAAACCTTCATGCAAGTCATTAATAAAGACGTTGAACAGAACTGGGCCCATGATCAAACTCTGCGGCACTCCACTAGTCATTTCTTTCCAAGATGAAGAGGAACCATTGGCGAGCACCCTTTGGGTTCAGTTGCTTAACCAATTACAGATCCACTTAATAGTAGCCTTGCATAGCCCACATTTGACAAATATGTTTGCAAGAAGGTTGTGGGGAATTTGTCAAAGACCTTACTGAAATCAAGATATGCTAAATCCACATTCCCTGCATTTACCAAGCTTGTAACTGTGTCGAAAAAAGAGATAAGATTAGTTTGGGATGACTTGTTTATCTATTTTAAAAGGGTAAAAGCACATGTTAAAAAAGGTGTGTTTATAACCTGATTCTGGATGAAAAAAGTGCACCTTTGCATGACCGTTTATCCCTGCAGTCATGCAAAACATGTACTTTCCTTCTCTCCCCTTTATGTAGACTGCCTCAGTGCATGTCCGCTTTTTAAAAGTATCAAACAGCTGACCAGCTGACTGGGCTGTCAAACAGACACACCGGTGGTTCAAGGGAAGCACAAATGGAAAGCAATTAGAACTCTCTGAAACTCTTTCTTTTATACTTTATAATCTTAAACAGAGGTTGAATTAACAGTTGTGGAAAAGAAAGATTCCACAGAAGTTTTTTTTAAAAAATCCTCCATTATGCGTTGGACCTCATATGCACACATATGCTGCTCAGAGCCAGAGTGAAGACAGAGGAGGCCAGGGGACAGTTCCACCTTGTCTCCTGTGCTATGCTGATATATAATATAATATATAATTGTATAGTACAATATAGTGATGTATAGTGCTGATGCTAATGGTATAATGTATATTGTGTGTGTGTGTATCTTGTAAGCCGCTCTGAGTCCCCTTTGGGGCGAGAAGGGTGGCATATAAATGTCGCAAATAAATAAATAAATAAATAAATAAATAAATAAATAAATAAATAAATAAATAAATGTGTTCCTATATGGTCCAGTGCATAATAGGGTTTAAAAAAAAAAACTTCTGCTGGATGTTCCCCATCTGCCCTCCATCTTGATCTACTTCAAACGGTTCTGGCCAACTTACATGTCTGAATGCATCTTCCCTTATGAACCTGCTAGGACTTTAAGATCGTCCGGGGAACAGATCCTGAGATATAGGGCAGTGTAGATCCAGCCTCAGAATGGAACCATCCCAATAGGATTAAAAAATGAATCTCCTTCCTTTACTACATCTTTAAGTATACTTTTGTCACCAACAACTGCTAAACGGAGGAAACAACTGACTTACATTGACTTACCTCATTACTGAAATCACCTTTGAATTGACACTGGTTCTGGTGAAACATGCTTCTGGCTCAGACTTGAGCATCACCTACACTGTTATATATTTCAGTTTGGAACTGCATTATATGGACAGTTTAGAAGCAAATAATGTAGTTTAACTGCATTGAACTGCATTATATAAGTCTACACTGACCATATAATGTAGTTTCAGACTGCATTATATGAGGTATATATGGGGAGCTGTTCTGAAATAACATGGGGACTTGGAGTACTTTCACAGAGCATAATTATAGCAACATTGTCCCACTATAATATCATGGCCGTTGCCTAAAAAATCCCATGTTTGTGGTTTGGATGGAGCAGAGGCACTTTGGCCAAGAATTCTTAATATTTCTCTGTTTATTGCAACCTTCAGAACGTGAAGGGTGGAACAATGGAATTTAAAGTGGAGTCATAGTGCCATAACTGAATAATGGTGAAAGGGTCTGGATTTCAGTGGAATAAAAGTCAGGTTCAGAGTCTTCTTAAAGGAGGCAGGATTTGTGGCAAGATTCATATCCCTATACTTGAGTATATGAAACAATTAATAATTTTGTTAAAGGAGCATTTGTTTTAACATTAATATCTCTCAGGAACCATCCACACAAGATAGTCATTAATTTTGTTCTGGAAGCAAAGGGTGCCTGTGGGATGTATGTAAAGCGATTTTGTAATAATTATTCCATGTCCATGAGCAATGAGCTTGCTATAGTTAATCTTTTCATTTGTGACAGACAATCACATGGGTTCGGAAACATAAAGAATATTTTATACTGACCTCTTTACCATCCCTAAAATAGCCTGACAACTTTCCCCCACTATGTAAGAAGTATCTTATGGTCTCAACACTGCTCTCATTCAAGTGTTGTTAAGAGGAGTAGCTGGCAACTTATCTCTAGCAATCTTGGCTGGCAGATTCTGGAAAATGTGGTTCAAAAGTACAATTTCCAAACTCTGGTCCAGAAGGCAGCCATTGAACAAGCCAAGGAATTCTCTGGTCATATTAGACACAGGTTTTTCATCACCCCCACCATATGCATTAAACTTTAATTTGACTAACTCACAATGTAAAAGAAATGCAAAATATCTTACACTGCCATCACTGCAGGGTTTTAGGTCTTTCCAGAATGTTTGCATCTGGGTCAAGTCCACCTTGTTGAGGGGAATAGACACTTCCCCAATGGGGTCATTGCGACTGAACCGATCGTAATCCAAAACCTGTAGATACAGCACCCGCTGAACCACTTTCTCATAGGGAAAACCTGCCAGAAGCAAAAAACAGATGAAGAGCTAAGAATCTAATGGCATGGAGCTGCATTAAAGAGAACCCAGCCTGGATTTGGGCAAAAACGACTATTCTATTGGACATGTTGGTCTTGTCCGCATTAGAGTACAGGCAATCCCAAGCTATGAAGAAGATAGCTTCTGTAGGTTTATTCTTGAGCTGAATGTATATATAAGTCAGAACAGGTATATTTTAAGTGTATGTCAAGCCAAAAACATATTTTAACTTTAGATAGCACAGGGAAGAGTTAATACTCCTGTGATCTGTGTTTCGCTGTCTGTGCCCCTGTTTAGAAGATTTCACCTTACTTTCTGTCCCTGTGATAACTGGATTTTGAAAAAAAATGGCTTATGGAAATGATTGGTGGTAAAGTTTCAGTTGAGGCACCTTTCCCCCATGATAAGTCTTTCAGGAGTGAATGTCCCTCCCTAAGGTTTGATTTCTCTCACTTCCTGTTGTCTCAGCCCCGTCTTAACTATGTAAGACCCCATTTACATTGCTAAATAAAATCCAGATTATCTGCTTTGAACTGGATTACATGGCAGTGTAGACTCATATAATCTGGGTCAAAACAGATAATCTGGATTTTATATGGCTGTCCATATGAGATAATGAGATATATGTAACCTGGGGGGTGTCTGTATGCATTTAGACTGCTGGTAAAGAAAGGATCAAGATTAGCCCAGCTAAAAGATGGAATCCTATGCTTCTGGGCAATCTTGTAGCCTTGAATAACATTTGTAAGCATTTCAGATGAATGAGTAGTAATCCAATTTCATCAATCAAATGCAATGCTTCAGGGAACTGATTGGTTGCTCTAAGGTCCAGGAAAGAATCCCAGACCGTATCTGTCACTGCATTCAGATCACCAGCGAAGGCTTTTGGCCTCTCTGTAGAGTGTAAGGCACTAGCTGCTCTTCTGAGGATAGCTACTAAATGTGATGGACTATAGATATGATCCAATTTGGCAGCAAGCAAAACAGTAGATCAAGTAGAGGAAAGGAAGGATACGTAGCACGAATGGACCAAAGAGAACAGATGGACCATATATGAGATGATGTCAAATCTAAGGGATGAATGATGTAGGCTTTGCTGCAGTCTCTCGTTTTTGTGGGATTTACTTCTCAAAACACGGATATGATATGGGTTGAAATGTATTACCTCTTTAAATGGATTGTGTGCACACAATAGCCCATTCCCTGATTTTTTCTGACGTATGTGGAGGTTATTATATATATGGGTTTTTTAAATATCCAATTTACATTTCTGAAGTCTAAGAATATTTTCTGGCAGTTCCCAGCACTAGCTGCAATATTTTTACACCATCCTTCGATTGGATTTCTTTTTAATTTTGAAACATATTTGAACAAAGTAATAATCATTCCCTCCTTTCTCTTGTTCATTTTAAAGTGTTATAATGCATTAGTGCATCTGTGAAATGACACTTTTGCACCATAACCCCATAATTGTTTTAAAAAACCTAGTGAGGGGACATTTTGCCTTTCGAACAATAGGATCACCCCAGTAAACTATGTCTAGGATTTTATAAACCTTTGGAAAAGCCTTAGATTAGAACAAAAAATAGATAGAAACAGCCTCCAAAAACAGAATAAGTGGATATGGAGGTAACAACTCTGGGAAAACCCAGGTTTCTCTTCCCTTAATCCTCAAAATTTATTATTTATTTATTTATTTATTTATTTGATGCATTTATTAACCACCATTCTCAGCCCCTTAGGGCGACTCATGGCGGTGTACACACATATAAAAGACAATTTACAAAAAGGCACTATCAACAGCATAAAAACTACATAACAATTACAAAAACTACGCTAAACATCCGCTTCGTCTCACAGTGGAATCATAACCCATCTCATATTCCTTATTCCAATCCAATCATCTTTACCGTATTATTAGCACTTAATTGAATGCCCTCTCGAACAGCCATGTCTTAAGGCTTTTTCGGAAGGACATGAGGGAGGGCGCCTGTTTGCTTAAAAAAAATAAATAAAGCTGATTGTGCACAGGCAATTTCTTCATAGACAAGATGCCCACTCATCTCATCTCATCTCATATTATGGAGCCCCTGGTGGTGCAATGGGTTAAACCCTTGTGCTGGCAAGACTGAAGACTGACAGGTCAGGGACAACGCAGATGAGCTCCCTCTATCAGCTCCAGCTTCCCATGCGGGGACATGAGAGAAGCCTCCCACAAGTATAGTAAAACATCAAAACATCCAGGGGTCCCCTGGGCAATGTTCTTGCAGACGGCCAATTCTCTCACACCAGAAGCGACTTGCAGTTTCTCAAGTGGCTCCTGACACACACACAAACACACACACAAATCTTATTATATCTATTTTATCTTTCTCCTTCCTTCCTTCCTTCCTTCCTTCCTTCCTTCCTTCCTTCCTTTCTAGGGAATCAAGCTATGAGGTCTCTATGATCGTTTCGCCCTGTTGCTTTTTCACAACTCTTCAAAATGAATTTTATGTGGGCGAAAACTAAAAGTGTTCCTAGAAGAAGAAACAAATATGTATGGGAATGCATCGAGAGAATTGAGAGAGAAAAACTAAACTTAAATGGAAAGAAATGTGACAAGACCCATTGATGGTACCAGGGGTTAGTTAGGTCATGCAGTTGTTAGACCCCAGATTTCACCTTCACCTTCCTCACTGGACAAAATCCAGGGCTCCTACCTCGGCAGTCACTTCCTGTGAGAGTCATCTAGGCTGGCAACTCTTTAAGCCTCATGTGATGGCCTAGAGCAGTGTTTCTCACATTCTGCTTCTCCAGGTGTTTTCGACTTCAGCTCCCAGAAATCCCAACAAGCTTATCAGTTGTAAGGAAGTGTGGGGGCTGAAGTCCAAAACATCTGGAGGACAAGAATTTGAGAAACACAGGTCCAGGGAAGTAGACAATATTCACATACTGTCCCTCTCCGGAGCTGCGTCAGCTCCTCACCCCATCCCAGCCACTTAAGAGAGCTCCTCAGCTAAAAAAAACCAACAACAAACTTTGGGTGCCATCATGTTTCCCGAGCACAGCTTCCTTGTTGTGTTGCCTTCTGCTTCCATTGCAAAAACTGCCCTCAGGAAGGATTTATCAACACAATTTACCAATGCGTCAAAATGGGATTTCTCCAACATTCTCAGGTATTGTCTGTGTCTATTTATGAACAGTCACAAAGCTCTTCAACATTATGCAGTTATTTATTGTAGCGCTTTGATTCCACCATAACTGCTGTGACAACATCCTATGGGATCCTGGGGCTTGTAGCTTGGTCAGAAACACCAGAGGAACTCTCAAGATGGGAACTGTAAGTGCCCCTCCTTTAACTGCAAATCCCAAATGGGAGTTAAAGAGGAGTCACAGTGTAATGTGAAAGGGCCAACAGATATAATTTTTCCCACCCAATACATTCTTGTAGAGGGAATTTAGATATTATACTCACTTTGAGGTGAGGTGGCTCCACTTGTTAGGGCAACTCCCCACACTGCCTTATGAAGAATTTCCATGAAGCAGACGACCCTCACAAAAACACGGGAAGGCTGCTATAATTCAGTAATACTGCAGTCACTGCCCATTTCTAAAATATGTCCATAGCTCCAAGTTCATAGTGTTTGAAGCTGATATAATTTATTCTGAATATAGGACACGTCACCACTATATGATTGACAGCCACTGCAACACTAGTGTGGTGGTGCAGCCTCTGTGTGGGTGAATATGAAATGTTGTAGCTCTTACGTGGAGCTCAAGCCATGCTGAATCATTTCCAGAAATCCACTACCCCTGATTATTGGCAGAAGGTAGGCATCATGGCTTAAATAATTTTAGCGTTTTATTCTATGTCAGCAGACCCTCTATTCCCATTTGGCTTGAATCATTCTGCACACTTGCATTGGCAGCCTTTTCCACAAATTATTTCACTATTCTAATGTTCCGACAATGATAGCAGACAGTGATATATGTATTTAACAGGTGGTGGAAATGTGAGGTGCAGAACACATTTGTGTTCCCTCCAACTTTTCACAGCTAAAAACTAGGACAAGCGTTGCAAAGCACCACCAGAGTGTATTCAAGACGGCAAAAGTGATTACAAGCAGTACCCAGTTAGGAAAAAGATAGGTTCTGTAGGTTTTTTCTTAAGTTGAATTTGTATGTAAGGTACATTTTTAAGTGGAACTCCAGCAAAAAATAAATATCTACTTAATTCTGAACAGCATAGGAAATGTATCTTCATGTGGGTAGATTATCTCTCACTTCCAGTTGTCTCACCCCCATCTGCAATTGGGAGTCATATATAAGTTGGATATTTGAAACTTGGGAACTCCCTGCTAATGTGGAAGAACTCACAAGCTAGGAAAGCCTGCAGCAGTTTTAGCCAAGCAGGACAGGCACTCTACACTTCCTTCCACTTGTTAATACAGCACTTCAAAGTAAGTGAAGTAAAATGAAGGCAAAGGGAGAAAGTGAAGGAGAAAGACATCAGGACACTTTAAAAGCATTTCAAATAGTGGGAGTATTAATAGTAGACGATTAATTAGGATTTTCCTTGCCAGATTGGCACAGTTTGAAGGTATATATTTGTTAAGCAACTTGCCTGGAGTGAGAATAAATCCTTTGTCTCTGTAACCAGCAGCCTAAACCCGGATCGTATTACCTACCTTCAAAGAGAAAAGTCTCATTCCAATGGGGGTTTAGGTTCTTCCTTTTCACCTTTGTCTCCAGCTTATGTTTTTTATCTGGTAGGAGGTAAATTTTGACAAAAGGGTCACTTGTGCCACTGAAATCCTTGGCTGGAAGCTCCTGAGCTTTCAGTATTTTGACAGTTAGGGTAGATTCCTGGAAATTGTAGCCAACACTAAACTGGATTCGGCCAAGGTTTTCTCGGCTGGAGCTGTCATGTCCCTCATCATCTTCAGACCCAGGGGAGAGCTAGAGAGAGAGAGAGAGAGAGAGAGAGGCAGTGGTCATGAATTCTGGTTGATACACATGGCCCATCTTCACAGTAAGCCATTCTTAAGTATTAGAAGCCCCAAAGGGTAACCAGGGTCTAGATCAGTGGTTCACAACCTTTTTTTGACCAGGGATCACTCTCCAACATTAGTACCAAAATGGTTACAAATCAGTTTTTGGTCAACTTTAGATTTAGTTTGGTTATTTGTGGTGCTTATTCAGAAAATGGCATTGGACAGACCACATCAGCTTTAGTTTCTGATACAGAACATATGTCATCCAGTAATCGCCATCTGCTCACCTACAGAAAACCATAATTAATAATCTAGAGCTGATGTGGTCTATCCAATTGAATTTTCTGAATCAGCTTCCCAAATAACCCCAGAAACAGTCCGAAAAACAAAGCCACCAAGGTGCTCCCACTTCCAGGTGCCACGCAGAATGGCTTCGCTTAGGGGAGGGAGGAGGAGGAGAAGCATCAGTAAGGAGGTTTGTTGTTATGACTTTCATGGGTAGTCAACTTCTCCCCTCCCAACATCCCCGTTGCCTTGGCACTATAAGAAGATTTTGCGAAACCAGTCACTCTCATACTGCAGTAACGGTGAGGCCACAGAGCATATTTTAGTTCTTGCGGACCATTGGTGGTTCATGAACCACAGGTTGGGAACCACTGGTCTAAATTAAAATGTAGGTAATTGGTGGGAACATAATTTTCAACAGGTTATTACTCAGGTTCTGCACCCACAAATTCAACCAAAAATGCCATTTTCTATAATGAGGCTTCAGCATCCATGAATTTTGGTATTCAAAGGGGATCCTGTAACCAAACTCAAGCAGATATTGAGAGTCCACTGTACTTACAAATGATTTACGTACAAAACCCTAATAGATTTTTTTCTTTTACAGTTGCCCTTATCCTGCCTCTAGACAGTGGCTCTGGCTGGGAAAGCAAAATTCTGAACCTCTTGCCTTTTCCAAACTGTCTGCTGTCCTGAGGTGAGAAAAAGCACTTGAAAAAATATTATCCAGTGTAAGCAAGAGTTGAGGAAAAGGACTTGGGGATATTGTTAGCACAAGGTTTATTTTATCACAGGCCTAACTGGGAGTGAGAGCCTGGGGGCTTGGGGAGATGTATTCTACTGAGAACAGTATGACTCTGCTCCTCATTAGTTGAGTGTGAAGCCACCCGTTTGAGAAATGCTTCACCCAACTGTCATCAGCCACAGCTCCTGCCTCCTTTGTTAAGCATCACACCTTCCAGCTTGCACATAGTTCAGGACTTCACTGTAAGCTCCCAAATACTGGGTCAGCAAGAGTATTCCTGTTCCTATTAGTAAGCAAGCTTATACAGCAGGGAAGGGTAATGATATGCCCCCCTCCCACCTCACATCTCTTTCACTCTACACAATCAGAACACTTTCTCATACTCATCAATGTCCCAATTTGGTCAGGCCCAACCAGCCCCCTGTCATTTTTTTCAGGTGCTTTTGATGTCCCAATTTTTCTTTCCTCTTTTCACACTCCCCCTTTGCAGTTACTTCAGTTGACACAAACTAGGGTCAGAGTGCAAAAGTAGTTCCCATTCAATTAACTCAACATGGGGATGAGGAGCATTTCCCAGTAAACTGAAGCAAAGCAAATGGTTGCAGAGCCTCCTAATTCTTTTTGGTCATTCCTCATTAATATCTTTTGCCACACTGACCACACTCTGACCACACATGTTCCAGGTTTTATCCATAACATGTTGGAGGTCTTGGTTTCTAGGAAATCCTGGAGTTTGTAGCTTTGTGACATATTCTGAATACTCTACTGGAATTAATGCTCGACTCGGCTTTTAATATTTGCACTAAATGCTTATTTGATCATGTTTTTATTAATTTGTTATTGTTTATCTTGTCTATTTGTGTTATATTACTCAGCTATTTATTATGTATGTCTAGCATAATAAATATGCCAGATATACATTTTTGTTGTGAGCCATCCCGAGTCCCCGGAGGAGAGATGGAACAGGATACAAATAAAGTTTATTCTTATTAAAGTTTACTATTATGCGAGTATTTCATCCAGACTATTAATCTTAGGACTCCTTAGGACAGGCATGTCCAAGGTCTGGCCTGGGGGCCAGTTGTGGCCTCTGTTCTAATTTCCACCAGCCTTCTCTCTCCAGCCCCTGCTTTCATTGCTTCTTTCCTCCCTCCCTCCCTTTCTTGACTTCCTTCCTTTCTTCATTCATTGTTCATTTCTTCTTGGGGATAAGGGCCCCGGAAAAGGTGGGCTCCTTGGGAGGAGAGAAAGAGTGATCGTGGTTTCTTGCATCCCTTCACCCTGTTTAAATGTTGCCTTCTCTACCTCACCTTCATCCAATGTTGCTACCCTGCATTTTCCAAAAAGGCTGCCCTTTACTGCAGCTCCTCTCTTGGAAAGAAAAGGGGGGAGCCAGATGGCAACTATACACCCCCTGCCATAATAAAAGCCCTCCCAACAGATGGCCATGCCACCTCTACTGAAAAATCCCAGAGAAGGAAACTCCACCAGGCTCTGAGGTAGCGTATTCCACTATCTGAAAAAAGGCACACAACAACACTATCTGAAACAACTCGAAGGCACACAACAACAATCCTAATTAACTTTACTTTTCTCATCAGCCAAAAGCAGGCTCACACTTCCCATTGAAAGACTGGTACGTTTACATTGATTAAAATTGTTCATTGTTTTATGTATTGTACGGTTCTTTCATTTTTTGCACTACAAATAAGGCAAATGCAGTGTGCACAGAAATGTTTTTTTCAAACTATAGCCTGCCCCCCCCCCAAAAAAAAACAGGCTGAGGGACCGTGAACTGGCCCTTGGCTTAAAAAGGTTGGGCACCCCTGCCCTAGGATGTAGCTGTGAGAAGAAGTATCAAAGTGTTATAACTGCATAAAGAATATTAATTGGGATTGTATTGTTGAAGGCCTTCACGGCCAGAATCACTGAAGTGTTATGTGGCTTCCAGGATGTATCATTGTGTTCTCGCAGCATTTTCTCCTAACGTTTCACCTGCATTTGTATCTGGCATCTTAAGATCTGCTAGAACCCAGCCATACAGCCTGGAAGCCACAAAATATTCCATTAATTGTCACTGACAAATTGAGTATGCAATAGTGCAGTGTGAAAGAGCTGCAGATCTTGCTAGGTTGAGACTCCCAGAAATTTCTACATCAGTATAGGAAATGCTGAGGGATACAGAGACCTGCAGTGCAAAATATTTGGAGGACTACTTGGTTCCCTTCCTGCCATATAGCTATTCATGTACATGACTCCTGTATTATAATTATGACTGAGAATGGATGCAACCACATGTTTGTGAACCACTTCTGCTCATAAGACATGCACAGCGTGTAGTGCTGCAGCTGTATGTTTTGGTCTATGACTTTCACAGGGTGCTACTTCATGGCTCTATTTTTCAGAGATGTCCTCTCATGACTTCCTTTCCACTTAATCCATCCTGCTCATTCCTCTTCACATCCACTATGATGTATTCCTAATGTTAATTAAATCTTTATTCATATTTAATAGCTTAATTGCATTCAAGCCTCTAGGTCAGTAACTATACCGAGGAATTATTCCCACATTGGTGTTTTATAACTCTCTGCCACCATTTGGTTCACAACACAAATACAATTTGTGGATGCAGATCCAGACTCAGCCGGTACTTGGGGGAAGTGGAACAGGGAGGCTGGGCTGGCTTTCTCCCTGCTCTCTTTTTGTCGGTAGGTAAAGACACTTTCATTGGAACAGGTATTTGAAAATTAACAGTTTATGCAGGAAGTCCCCCATCCATAGCATGTGTGCTGCTTTCTCCATGTTTTTATTACTTTTAATTGATTTATATGAATGTAAATTATGGCTGTAGAAGCTAATTTAAGTGTGTCTGAACTTAAGTTTCATCAGGTATCAATATTTTACCTTTTTTGTAAGCTGCCCTGTTTTTTTTTTATTAGAAAGGCGGGATATAAAACAATCAAGCAAACAAATATTGCCCTCCAGGTGCTGAGTTTCCTTCACCATTTGCCGTCCTGGCTACAACCGACCTGAAGAGTAGTCCAAAAACATCTGGAAGGCCATACATTCCCTCACCCCTCTGGTACCAAATTACTAGATGCCTTGTAAGAATGCAGTTTCACCCAATGTTATTTCCCCAAGACCAAAAAAGAGAATGGTGGAATCATTAATTAGTATTAGCTTACTTCATTTTAAAGCAGTGGTTCCTAACCTTTGGCCCTCCAGGTGTTTTGGACTTCAACTCCCAGAAATCCCAGCCATCTCACCAGCTGTTAGGATTTGTGGGGGTTGAAGTCCAAAACACTGAAGGCCCAAAGGTCGGGAACCACTGTTTTAAACAGATGTGCATCACTTTGGGGAACAATATTTGCAGACAAATGTGATGAAAATAAAGTAAAATGAATATGGCTCAGTCGTCCTGCCAATCTGGCTCAACAGTACTTCAGCACAGGAAAGCTGCTATCCAAGGGTTCATAGTAAAATAATTGGAACAGGGAGAGGTTTTTGATTATCCAGTGCTTTGTGTTTGCTCAGCTTAACTAAGGGCACGTTGAAAGTTGCAGCATCTAAGGGAGAATGGAAACCGTGGTACATAAGGAAACTAAATGTCTGTGTCTCACAATAAGGTCAACAATTTCCAATTTTAAATCTTATCCCCTTTTGGCAACTTGCCCTGAATCTTTTCATTTCACTGAAATGCTTTAAGACACCATTTGCTGCCATTGTTTTTCAAAGCTCCTAGCTGGTCGCATGCTATCCAAAGGCATGGAAATAACACACATCAAGGTCAAATAGGCACAAGACCCACAGGCTGGGAGCTGGGTGTGGGGAGAAATGTGAAAATCCTTGCCTGAGGGAGCAAAAAAAGAGCAGCCACATTTTCCCCATCAGAGGTGCTTGAGATATCAAAGTCTGCCTCTGTCTTTATGCAGCTA